CCTAAGCTACCCAAATACCCAATGGTCACTTCTGGCTTTTAAAACTAAAATAGTGACACCAAAAATTATATTGTTTCAAAAACCAAGACATGACCTGTTGCAGCTGATGCCTGCCCCTTGCTGAGTCTGATTCTGCTGAAGGTTAAGAGGGAGTTCTTCCTTCCCACATTCGCAAAGTGCTTGCTTATAAGGGGTCATTTGTTTGTTGAGGTTTTCTTTTTAAAACTGCAATCTTTACCTTACTGTGTAAAACAACTTGAGGCAACTTTTTTGTGATTTGAAACTATATAAATAAAACTATATAAATAAACCATTGAACAGAATAATGCCAAGGGTAATGTGTCCATTTTTTATATACAGTCTTTGATCTACATTTTAGCTTCATCACAATCCATTTATATTTCTTTCTCTATATATATGCACTCAGATATTTTTTACAAGAATGGGGAAAGGGGTGTAGAAAAAGCTACTGGTTGGTAGTACAGATGAAGAAGTCAGAAAAAGAGAACATATGCAAATAAAGAAGATAGCAAAGATGAGCAAAGAAAAAGTGATGGAAGGAGAAAGACATCGACAGTGATTATACTACACTATATACAGCATGGTTCAGTGGAGCATATCCTTACAGGGACAGGCAGTCCATTAAAGTACAGACACCCCTATCCAGCTTGTCTGCCTCCTTTCTCTGACACCTATGTACACATGGAGAAGAAAACATCTACTCAGACTTAAAAACACTTCCATCTTGATTTTGGAATAACTATGATGACATAGCGTTTTATATTGCAGTTAACTTATATTTTCACACCAATACTGCGAATCTGTTAGTGGTTGTGGTGTTTTGTTGGGTGTATTAAGGCAACCTTATTATTTTATAGAAAGAAAGTTCTACAAAGTCACTCAATCTGGTAAAGTTTGGTCCAGAATCTTTTAACGAAAATATCTAAAGTCATTCATTCTTTCAAATCTTACCAAAATATATCTGCTACTTAGCAGATGCTGTCCATTTAACATCATGCTGTGTGAACTTGACCCTCACTGTTACTCTGTATACAGTCCTAAATGTCACCATAATGTAAATGAATTGGTGGGTTAACTGATAAGCCTGAGGTCTCAAGTAGGAAGCGGTGTGGCGGGAAATGCTTTATGGTTGAGCAAATGGCAGGGCTTCAGAGTTTTACACAGGCTGTAAAATGGTTAGTAGTAATGGTTAGTAACATGGACCCTAATGCAGCAGAGTCGGATAGATCACTTGAATCAATATCACAGTAAATTATAAATGCATCTTGTTAACCAATCTAGCTAGTTAGAGCTGGAGTTATCTGACAGTGTCCTAGGTTATCTTTGTTATTCAAGCACAGTGGTTAAAAAAATGAGATTGCAAAGCCTAAAGTGTCATAACAGCTTTTGAATAACCAATGAGGGTTGACACAGAGACTACATCTATCTTTTAGATACAGTCTGTGGAAACAAGAACAGATAAATCAGATCATATTCTGGTGTATATCAATCTGTATTTGTTCTGATAATCCATTTGATTTTGACTTTCACCCTTAGACGAGTTTTTTCACATTTTAATACCCACATGGCAGCATTATTATTGGTAAATTCAAATTAAAAGGTTGTGAATACCAGGGTCTTCCGTGATATCATGGTAATTTCAAGAAAACATTTGATCAGTTTCATTATTATTTACAAATTATCTTTCTTCCTTTACTGTAAAACCACACATATTAACTATAAGTTAGGAAAACAATTTCCAGTCCCTCTCCCGGTACTGTAGTTTACACCTGAGCCTAGATTTAAAGATAAATTATTAAATAATGACTTTTGGGTTCACTGTTATGAGTCTGGTAAAATAATCAAACTATATGATTTTTTGAACTATAATTTTCATACTAGTCTCAGCTTAAATACATTATTAGTTTCAGGAGTAATTTGCAACATTAGCTGCTTCAACTGCTGCAATGAAAACTATTATTAAAAAATGGTTTAGACCAAATTTAGCCAACGTTCTTTTCAGATATATGATCACTTGAAAGGGCCAGAATTAAGAAAGATGGACATTGTATAGTGGTCCACTGATCCAAAGCCGTTGCTACAGCTAACACAATCTTTAGCCTTGCCTCCACTTTGTTATTACTATCTTGGTATTACTTTTAGCCATTGATACATAATTTATGTTTATTTTTTTTATGACTGATGTTATATATGCTTTTGGGGTTTTTTTACCTCCACTGCTGTTCTGGTTGTTTATTAGTATTTATATTCTATTATGTGTCGATGCATTTCCTTCTTCGTCTGCCTGTCCAGTTTGATTTGTATTTGTTTTCATTTATTTATGCCCTTTAACTTTTCATCCCTGTGCATTAACTTCTGTTCTGAAAATGAATTTTTCTCTATGTCTGGACCTCATATTTGGTATTATTTCAATAAACAATTACCAGAAACAAACAAACAAGCAAAATTTTAAAAAGACCTGGACCTAGGGAAGAGTGCTTGTGTTTTAGTGTGTATCAGGGAGTTTCTCCTGATGCTCTGAAAGTTATGATGGACATCAGTCTAATGAAAAGAGAAGGAAAGGCTTGGAGCACAGATAAACACAGACGTGACCACTCACTGTAGTGTACTTTATTAGCACGTAGCCTCCTAATTAGCTATCTTCTATGGTTATAGGCAGAACCACTGGTGACATGGCTAATAACGACCACAAAATTAGCATGAACACAGAGGGCTTTCCCATATCTGCATTTGAAATTAGTCTTTGCTGGAGCATGTAACTGGTTCACAATCTTTTATAGCATTTTATCTTACAGTACTTACAGGCAATGTGTTGCTTACCAATAACCTACATTTTGCTCTTTATCACTTTATTTCTCCTGAAATAACAATGATAATAACAATGATAATATAACATGAACTAACGAGTAAAATAACCATCATTGTTGTGTTGGCATAACAGGATTACCAGGAACATAGGCAAAAAGGGTAAGCAGACATATGGGCAAGAAAAGGGGCAACCTTTACACAGCGCTCTTTGGCCTGAGACAGGGAACTCAGCTTTTCAAGAGGCAGGGACTGGCATTTTTGTGAATTTGTGTGGATGCATGTGGATATGTGTGTGTGTACACTGACAGACTTTCATATTGTGACCCAGATGGCTAAGGTAAATAAAGGTCCAGGAGTCACAGGCTATTTCTAGGGCTTGGTTTGGTCTGAGGATGCTATGTACATACTGCCAAGAGCTGTGATGGTCAAGCCAAAGAAAACAGAAAAAAAAAAACTGGGGTATGTTAATGATGAGGCTTCAGGCTGTGTGGAGAAGCTAAAGCAACGCTTAAGGTGATGATTACAAGCAAGGCTAGGTAATGTGGCAGAGACTGGGTGAGAGGGCTATGGCTAGGATTTGAAAATAATTAGGAGCATGGCTGGATAACATAGCTAAATAATGTGGCTGGGGGGAGGCTGGCTAGGCACGGTATGAAGATGATGAGTACCAGGGTTGAGCTGTCCACTCCACTGGCCCTGTGAGATGTGACAAGAAGCTCCGCTGGCTGCTGCTATAGCTCACGGTGATGCCAATGATAGGACTAATGCACTAATTATCACAGAGTGAGAGGAGAGAGAGAGTAAACAGAGGTAGAGAGATACAAAGACACAGAATCTCTGAGAGAAAGATGTGAGGTTTGATGAGTTCTGAGTGACAGCAGTATGACAGGACTGGGCCGAGGACAGGCAACTACTGTCTTTATCATCTTCCTCAACAACATCCTGCATGGCAAAGTTATACTATACAGAGAATACGTTTAGCAAATATTTGATTTGAGATAAAATAAAATAATAGAAAATAGCTAAACGTGTCAGCAAACACACACACATACTTATCTAAGAAATGAATCAACTTAATAAATGAATCCTGGCTCATCCCACCATTTAAATGACCAAATCTCATTCTAATTCACACTTATACTTACCGACATATTATTTGATAATCAGTGGGTATGCCCGTTAACACACAGTTAAAACTGCCATGCAGCTTTGCTGTGAACCTGCGTTAGTTCAACAGCATATTTGGGACATTTGTTTCCTGTTTTGTCTAGACAGGTACTTTTCACCCAAACGGGGCTAGGGCGATAGGCAAAGTCAAAATACTACCACCAATGCAGATCTACAACCTTCCTAAAATTGTATTTGACAAACATGATACAGTGAAATATGGATCGTACTCCCTCAATTTCTCTTGTCAGTTTGAGGAGACCCCGTTCACCCACTCACTCTCTCCTCATACTTATTTATCTCCACTTCCTGGGGCCGTGTTAGTTCATTCCCCTGTCGCTGCTCTCTCCTTTTTCCCTTGCTCCTCTCTCTCTCTCTCTTGTTTCACTCCTTGTTTCCGGGCAATTGGGTCTGGTTGCTGGTGGGGAGTAAGGGGCTGGGGTGGAGCTGCTGGGAACTTTGTGTATGTGTGTGTGGATGTGCACGTATGCGAGTGTGTGTGCTGGGAAGTGAGCTAATAAAGGACGGTGATCCATGAAAGGCCTTGAGCAAAGACACAGTCAATTACCTAATGCCTGGACCAGACCGCAGGGCCCACGCTCACACATTCTCTCACTAACATACCCACACATACACATCAATGCATACACCTCATTTACGTATACATGGAGAAGGGGCAGTGGAGGGCATAGCTGGGAATTGTGTGTATGGGTGTGGGTGGGTGTAGATATGCGTGTGATGGAGAGTGGCGATTTATTAAATTGCTGTCACTTTTGACAAATTTGTGCAACATAAGTTGAAAGGTTTAGGTTGTGCTGCTCTGTTTTTTCATGTCTTTCTTAGAAGAAGAATTATACCTTAGGATCAAACTAATTCAACCATATAAACCCTTTACAACAGCTTTTAGCCCATTCAGACCATTCCCTCTACATGGGATAATTAAATAAATAAACAAACAAATGATTTTTTTTCTTTTTGTTTAGTCTTTTTAGTTTTCATCATACCTCCTCTGATAACCAGTGTATATTAATCATCTGAAGCTCTTGCCGGTATGGGCTGGATGAGGAAATGAACTGCTGCTCTGGCTCAAATGGTGAAGTGTACTTCCTGTTCCTCTGGGTGTCAGACAACAAGAAACAGCAAAGTTATACAATATAGTGCACACAGGTTTTCAGATTGGTTTTATTAAAACTGTTGTTTGCTAACCATGTCTTTCACTTTTATAGGGCTAGATTCACTGGTGTAAAACCCTCCATGGATATAAAACTACTGTCAGGATTTACTAGAGATGGTGCAGTGTCAGTTTTGAAACTAAGAGTTTGCGGGAAGCAATTTACTGCAAATAGTGGCATATTTAATTATGAAAGCATGTCTTATTTTGCACCAGAATAGCTGAAAGTTGCAGCTGGGAGCTTTGCTATATTAGGGATGCCAGCAAGCAACTTTATCAGAATTAGCGCGTAATTGGCACAGATGGACAGCACAAAGCTGTGAGTTTAGTGCCAAAGCTTTGTTCTTTTGTCCTGTAGGGCTTCACTGAATCTTGATCCCAAATGTTTAGAGTGGAGCTCCACATATTTCAGTAACACCAGTATTTTGATAAAATACAGCTTAAACTGAACTCAATTTAACATAGAGCATCAAAAGGAGGAAGCGAATACCAACACAAGACACATGCAAGGATATAGCTTACACTGGATTATTATGTTATTATAACTTTTTAGTAACATTTCTGTACAGACCCCACAATGAAAAATTGTGTCTATCTCTTTCAGCAGTGCTCACTCAAAGAACAGCTTCTTGCTAGTATCGAGTTAATACAGACACTATTTGCAGTAAATAATATCTGTTAAAACGCACCAAACAATGGACTTGGACATACCTGTAGCTGAATTATGTTAGATTAATGTATGAATGTTCTAATATATTGTATCCAATCTAAAATAATTATCCAGACAGGTCAGACAGAGAACTCCTGTACAAACCTAAGTCTCACTGGCTCGAGTTCACGTAGCTGATTCTGGGCCTCCTCTAGGTGCATGTAAGAGGTCTGCAGACATAACATCAATTCACGACAATGCAAGCGCTGCTCCCAAGCCTCTCCTGCTTCTCCGTAAAGACCCTGGAATAAGGACAGACAAAATAGACAGTACATTAGTCGAAAACTGATCGCAAAATCACTCTTTTGCAGAATTAAAAAAAGACAGAGGTCAGTCCTCTGCATCTCTTCTCTTGTGACAGGAGACAGGGTAAGTGTAGAGAAAGAATAAAAAAGATCAAGTGGCAGGAGAAGTAAAACCAAGCACTATGGGAGGGGTATCAGTTAAAAAGAAGACAGTTTTGGAGCAATGAGGACACTGTCTGCAATGGGTTAAAATCATGATTTGGGCTTTTGTGCTGATTTGTTAATTGAAATCTAAATGAATATGATAGTGGATCTTTTTCCCTGTTCTCTTCTTTTCCCCTCACCCCCAATCAGTTCCAGCATATGGGTGCCCCTCCCTGAGCCTGATTCTGCCAGAGTTTTCTTCCTGTTAAAAGTGCAGCAATTGTGCAGGAAATATAAATAGTAAGAAGACTGGAATAACCAACAAACAAGAAGAACATATATATAAAAACAGAGGCACACAGTAACAATGACAAGTTGAAAAGTGCTTGAATGTTGTGCAAAAGACTTTGGAGTATAGAGTCTTTGCGTAAGTGGCCAGAGGGATGAGGGTTACTCAGACCATGGCTGAGATTGGTGGGTAAGTGGTTGGGTGTGGGGTGTGGAATGGTTTTCTGTAAATATAGCAGTAATTTCAACGGAAAAGACTAAATTATGAATTGTCTGGCTTCTTAAATAAGCTGAGTTTATTTAAACTCAGTTTATTTAAGAAGTCAACTTACATAATATCTGTGTTAATCTTGTTAAATTGTTAAGGTAAACTGAAGAAACACACACACAATTAAAAAGTCTTGAGCCACCCCTCATTTCTTTTTATTTTTCTTCCATGGAGACAGACTTTCTCATGATTTTTTACAAATGGTCTTGAACAATAGTTCTTCAGGCTCTCTTTTTGTTTGTTCGTTAAGCCACATTACATTTACCTATGATTCACTCAATCATAAAAAAGGCGTAACTCAAGGGATAAACCAGACAACTTTTCGAAGAACCTATTTTAATTGGTATCTTTAGGCACTTTGTCACTTATTATCAATTCATTAGTTAAATTTAGAGAACATGCGGAAGATAACACAGTGATTCCCATGGAGCTAATAAGCTGAAAACTTGGCACATCTCAGTATGGTGTGCAGTTTGTCCTTAAAATATTTGAGGTGTCAAACAAGAAGAAGAGATCATCATGGCAATGGATCCAAAAACACTGCCAATGCACAAAAAACTACATCTGGATTAAAAAAGAAAACACAAAAAACCCACAACACACCATGGAAGACTATCAGTCATGGATTGGCTTCCCGAGAGCCCGGACCTCAACATTACTGAAGAAGTACATCCAGCTAACATCTAAGGTAGAGCTCTGGATTTATGTCCAAGAAGGCTGGAGAAATAGACTGCTTACAGAAATTACAAGAAAGCTGCCTAAGAGAATTCAGGCTAAGTGCAAGAACAAAGGTGAACAAGCTTGTTGGAATATATATGTGTGTGTGTGTGTGTGTGTGTGTGTGTGTGTGTGTGTGTGTGTGTGTGTGTGTGTGTGTGTGTGTGTGTGTGTGTGAGTTGTCCGTGTGTCCAGCGAAGTCAAATCTCAAAGTGGATGCTCTAAGACTACATTACTTAAGAACTTGTGCGAATAACGGCTAAACTTCTGGAAATGCAGATTAACTTAAATGTTTTCGCTATGTTTAAGGTGACCTTCAGTTGTTGTTTGGTGTTAAAAAAAGGAGGGAGAATGAGGAGGAGAGAGACAGAGACCCTGTCCTTGCTCCTATCACCACGGGATCAGTGGCCTGGCCTGACCACTTCCACAGCCAGCACCTCAACCTTATCCATCACCACTAGATAGTTATCACACCAGAGATGGAGGGGGTGTGGGATGTAGGGGTGAGTGCAAAAGAAAAGGGGACTTCCTGCACTAATGAAACGAGCTGAACACACACAAAAAAGACACACTATGAGGCACACATGTATAAATATAGACAATTATTCTTCATATCAACCATAGAGACTTTCCTAGGACACCATTAATAAACCTATTCCCATTTCGGCCAGCTGGAGACATGCCTGCATGTGTATGTAAGTGTATGAACTGCAGCTAATAAAAGGAGACAAATATACGCCTCATTTCTGCTCACTTATGTTTTACATTACTAGAAACTAATACTAGGGAAAGCAATTTGCCATAAAGAGCCACAGAGTGGAAAATATTGCTCTTCAATAGCACTCAAATCATCATCATACACACAAATGCAAACACAGACACATGACACATACAGTCACAAACACACCACTGGATTATCCTTTACTGAACCAAGACAAATTCTCAGTTGAGAACAACCAAAGTAAATATTCAAATAGTGGCAACTCAGGGTTCGTCTATTTTTTATCAGCCACTGGATTAATATAGTACACATTTTGACTGGTAACTGTCATAATTATGTGATAGTTCAATATGAAACAGTGGCAAATCTGTTCTTTTTTTCTCTATGATATGTCCAAAGGTCTTTGATGAAAATTTACTCTTTAAAATGAACACTTATTCTTGTTTATTTTGGACAAAGCAATATATTGTTAAAACAATTTCTGTAAAAAAAAGAAGAAAATGTGTTCACAACATATAAGATCAGAAAAATACTAATTTATTAAATTTATTATTTATCAAATTAAATTTTAATTTCTGTTGAATGTATATATGTCGCTTGTTTGCTTAATGGAAATATAATGCATGTTTCCATGGAATTTAACAAAATTATCCATATATATCTGTAATATACAGAAACAAATACATACATCTAAACTTCAAATTCAAGTGGAATGTGTATGTGAATGTGTATTAGTTTACATTTAGAACAGAAGAGCCCTTTATTGTCATTGTACCTGGACAACAAAATTGTGGATAATTGTACAGTTAAATCGTTACCTGACACAGCACATATCATGTTGTTGTGGTCCACTAGTCAGAGCTGTGCATGCAATTTTAAAATACACACACACACACACACACACACACACACACACACACACACACACGCACACACTGTGGTGCACAAATATAGTAACACATAACTACATAGTCCCACAGAGTACTCATTGAAATAAAGGCACTAAACGACTCTATGCAGTAGCCCCCAGGAGAGCTGTCTGCCATGCTTTAATGATGTCATTCTTCTTTAAAAGGAGTTTTAAAGGATCTCTGCTTTCATCAAGAACCATCCCCCATGAGGAAGGAAGGTGATGTTGGAGGCTTTAATAATTAGTATGATACTTTGTTAAACTAACAGTCTGTTTCACCTCTTGAACATGCTTAAATCCAGTTTTTCACACCATCACATCTCATCTCTTGTATATCTGCTTTTATACTACTGTATTTATCTGTTTTCTACTTGTTTATGTCTTTTATAGGCAACGTTTTGACCACCGTCACCTTGTTGGCAATGGGAGGCAGTATGGGCCTGGAGCTGTAAGTTCTAGAGGTTTTGATCAATGGGGATCCAAGAGTCACAGGGAAACTAGAGCTTGTTGAGCTTGGGATGCCCAAGAGACAAGCCTTGCCCCTGGAGGCCAGCCTGGTGGGGGCCTGGTACTTGACCTGCTGCCTCAGCAGCAGCTCCATCTCATGAGGAGCTGGCCTGAATGGAGAGTTGAAGACCCCTGGGCACTGAGGAAACAGAAAAAAAGAGAGAGAGGGTAAAAGCGTGAAAACATTAAATTAGGATTTTAAAGTCATTAGATTAAAATGTATTTCTTACTAGTAATTACATTTTTTTTAAATTAATGAATCAAAATCAAATCAAATTTATTTCTATAGCACATTTAAAAGCAATTTAGTTGACCAAAGTGCTTCACAATTAGTTAAGACCATGAGAAAACAATAGAAAAACAAATACAGATAAATGAGATGAGGCAATGACAATGTATAACATGAAAACAAAAAAAACCCATAACAAACATAAAACAAGCCTGATGGTACTCAAACTGAACTAAAAGCCAACATAGACAGTGCATTTAAGATGTGATTTGAAAGACTGAATAGACTCTGAAGTGGCTAAGTTATTCCAGAGTCTAGGTGCTGCGACTGCGTAGGCCCGATCTCCTCTATGCTTCAATCGAGACCTCGGTTGTACTAAGAGCATCTGGCTGGACGATCTCAGTGCTCTTTTGGGGTTACACATGTTGAAGAGTTTGCTTAAATAATTGGGCGCCATACCATTTAAAACTAGTAAGCAAAAGAATCTCAAAATGAATATGATAATCAACAGGGAGCCAGTGTAAATTTCCTAAAACTGGAGTGATATGTTCATACATTCTAGCACCTGTTAAAAGACATGCAGCAGCATTTAATAAGAATGTACTAGACCTAAAAATATGAAATAAAAAAACAGGCTCTATGGAGTGACATAGACATAAAGCGAAAATGATTTTGGGGCACTGATTTTGAAGCACCTGGCTGTCCACATGGATGCTTCAGTACTTAATCAATATATATAACTTAATTTAGATTTTGGAGAAAAAAAGAATTCAGTTTATGAAGAGGAACATCAAATCTCAGAATGGGCACCTACTGGGACAGGGACTAAACTAACAATTGTTAGCTACTAAACATCAATTGTGTAAAAATTTTCCATCAGCCTTCTTCCCTATCAATGGTCATGTAATCCATATTAACCTCCCCCAAATATCCCCACTTTAAAAAGGTGTTATCTTAAATGAATACAGAATAGAAGAATGGATAGATGAAAATCCTAAACACACACACAAGTACACATACTTAAAACTGTGCCTCTCTAATTCTGAACTGGGGTACAGATTTGCCACAGACAGCCTTGATGATAATTATTCAAACCACAGTTATTCTTTTGCCTGTGTCTTAATTACCAGACCAAAGCTTTGAGTTTGAACACTCTGTCCCTGTTCTATATGCTAATAACACTGCTTTCCACTCTAAAAGACTGCAACAAGAAGGAAAGGGAGAGAGAGAAACACATACAGCTTTAACTACATCCACCCAAACCTCGCTCTTTCTAAAATAACATATTAACAAATTAGTAAAATAGCAAATGTGTCACTATTAGATCATAAGCACTTTTGGTCTAAATATCATCCATTGCGTTATAAGAAAAAAATAAAGAAATTCCACTTTATTCACTGCTATTTTTTTTGACCCTGGGTTGTAGGTACAGCTTGATAATAGCACAATACGTACCTATTTAAAAAATAGTGGTGTTGATACAAATAACTTGGGGGATTGTGTCAGGAAGGACATCCAATGTGAAAATCTACCAAATCAAAACTCCTTGTGACTAAGGGAGTAGTTGAAAGTAGTTATTATACAACGTCATAGTTTCCCATAGGTTTAGATCCTATATGTAACGGCAGAATATGTGCATGCGCATATATGTAATCATGTATATATGCATACACGTGTGCTTTCTTAGATTAATCTTACACTTTAATGTAACATTTAAAAGGTTGTGTTCTGCAAATATTTTACTTGTCAAGTACACTATGAGAAAAAAATAATGAAGCAATATAATTACATGCACCTCTAGTGAATCTCATCCCAAGCTAGGACTTGGGATGAGGACAACTACACCATCATGGATTTTAGTTGTTAAGAGCAGTACTTGCTTATTCTTCTCATTAGAGACCTCCTCTAGATTGCAGGGGACATTCAAAGCAAAGGAAGTACCACTGTTAGACTGCCAGTTGCAGTCAAAAACAGTGGTGACCGATAAACAGGTCCCAGGCTAGCTGCTAAGCAGTGACTACCATTTCAAAGTGACAGTGGGGCAACTTTTCACTAATAATCAAAATCAGTAATCAATCATGCATAGGGTCCCTCTTGAGAACAAAAATATCTTGAAGCAGTTGTCAAATATATTTCTACAACCAATAATAAGTTATATTAAATGGTTCTTACTTATAGATAAAAAACTAAATTAGTAAATGTTATGCCTCACCCCAATAGAGTAGTAAACTAATTAAAAGTGTGGACTGAGTAGTCATAAGAATAGTTTATATGATCAACACCAATCAGTATCTTGGAAATTGCTTCAAACTACAGGAGAAATGTTCTGCTTTAGGGATGACAGTACACAAGTCAAATAGGAAGTGACAGAAAGCCAGCAAAATACACAGATACACACAACGCATAAACAAAAGTAAATCTCACCACCACTAAAGACACACACGAATACACAAACACAACACATAAGCCCAAAAGTACCAAGTACCAACCTAGCTACGGGAAGAGCAATGATGTTGACCCCAGGAACACAGCATCTCTGTCTCTGTCAGAGGGACTTGGGGCCTTTTGGTAAGCTGGATGTGAGTCTGTGTATTTTGGTGTGTGTGTGTGTGTGTGTGTGTGTGGGCTGGGGTCTGAGAAGTGAGAAAGGATGAACTGTGTGGGAGAGCCATCTATTCACTGCTGACAAGGTCAGAGCTACGAAGGGAAAGAGTCCCCTGCCATATGCAGGGAAAGAGAGGGAAGTATATAGAGAAAGATGGAGAGAGGGCGGAGAAGAGCACATAAACTTTCATTCTTTCTAGCGTGTACTTAAAAATAACGATAACAGAGTTACAGAAACGTAACACAAATTATGTGGATACCCACGAGTTAAAGTATTTTAAGAATCAAGCCTCATGTGTAAAAACTGCGAACTTAACCTCATTCCAGCTTACATCAACTTCATGCAATTGTGTGAAAATTTTGTGTATGTATGCGTCTTCAGTGAACATGGGATGTCTGAGGACAGTAGACAGCAAGACAGGCAATGATGATGCTAGTTGTAAAGACACGAGAGAAATAGGGAGAGAGAGAGAGAGAGAGAGAGAGCAAGCAGAATGCTAGTGCTGAATCAACAGTGACCACTGTGCTTTGTCTTCATTATTATCACAGCGAGGAGTCACAAAGATGCGTAGATGCCACACACATATGAACACAAGGATAGCTGTGGCTCAGGAGGAAGAATGGCTCGCCCGCTAACTGGAAAGATGGTGGTTTGATCCCCAGATTCTCTAGTCTGTTGCTGTATCCTCGGGCATGATACTAAACAACGAGTTATTTCCAATTCATCCACTGGACTAAGAGTGTGTGGCTGCCAAGCTAAAAATGCTTAGGCATAGAGAAAAGCATGATGTGTGTGTGTGAATAGTTGAATGATGCATACGGTAAAAAAAAAAGTGCTCTGAGCGCTCAAATAGAGTATAAAAGCACTATATAAGTACCAGTCCATTTACCATTTACAAATGTGCACACTTTTGCCATGGGAAGCATCAGACTGAGCACATCAGAACAACCGTGAGGACTCACACTTATGTTTGCACATGCGCAACTGAACTCCACACGGCCCACTTCTGTTGACTAATAGAAAGGAAAAGGTCTGTGGTATTTCTCTGTGTAGCCAGTTTCTGTAGGAATCCACCTCTCTGTAATATTGAGCTCAATGCCCATGTGTGTGCCTGCATATGTATCTGAGCATGCACATAATTGTGCATAGCTGTATGGGTGAGTGCTACACAAATGTGAAGTCAATCCACAGGGATGCGTTTCTCGTGTCATCTGAAGTGACTTTGCATCCATACATAACCGCAGTTAAGGTCACTTTGGAATTACAAAGTCAATACGTGTTACTGTCACTAGTTCAACAATTTTTTATTCATTACAGTATTTTTATTAAACTGCGCTATTTTCATGTAGCTCTGGTTAACATAAAATTAATATGTACATTTCCCTCTGGTTAAATATTAGTCTAATCATTATAACATTGTTGTAAAATGTGTGCAAAAGTGAATGTGTTTGTGTTTCCATAAGCCCACCTGCTTTGTACTAAGGAGATGATGTAACCGATGAGCTTGATAGACTTTGGCAGTGTGCTCTTTCACCATATCCAGACAGTCTCTCTCCCTTTTCTGGAGATCTTCCAGCTGATCAAGCTCCCTCCTGCAGGGAACATAAACGACACACAAAGATTCTTGCACTTCGGATTCATGAGGCTTTACAATAGGTATGCATTAGTTAGACATGTATAATAAATTAAAATCATTTTACACAATAATAATAATAATAATAATAATAATACATTTTATTTATAGGCGCCTTTCAGACCCTCAAGGTCACCTTACAATAACACGTGAACAATAGCATAATTTTTTTTTTTTTAAAATATAACAGTTAAGACATAATTTCTCCAATTCCTAAGTTGTCAATCATTATAATTCATATAGTAGAAATAACTCATCATATTTATATACTCATGTACAGTATGTTTTGTGAATGACAATGACTAAATGCACATTACTCTGTATTTTGATTACATTTAACTCTATACCACTTGGTTTAACAAGTAAGCCTAATGTTTTTTTTAATACTACATTAATGTGTTATATTACACATTTTCTGAGGATTCACCTTACGAAGTACTATATCTTAACACCAAATAAATCAATAACTTGTTAACGGTGTAAACTTCAGACAAGTACATCTGTGCATGTGTTATTATGTATTTGGGAAACAGTTGTTGGTCGTAAAGCTGACAATTCCCTAAAGTGTCCTTCAGATGAAGGAAAAAAACTACCTAATCACACTGAGGCATACATGGAAAGACAGAGGAGCTCTGGGGCAAAAACAACAGAATGACACTGCATAGAAGAAAAAAAGGCAAAATAACAGCGTAAGAGGCTATAAGTGGGAGGATGATTGATATATTTCATCATGGCAGCCAGGACAGGTCTGTCTATGACATCTGTTAAGCGAAGCTGGCTAAATGGGATGCATTAAAACCCCATACACACAGCAATTTAATTCCACAACCACACAGCAATGTTGTTACAAAGTGGTGATAACTTAAAAGGGGAATTGGAAACAATTACTAAATACACACATGTCGTCATAATATAAACACACACACACAAAGCAGGAGTAAAACCAATTTAATTCCAAGAGCACAATACCAATAAGAGTTTAACCATAGCTCATCAAGAATCCCGTGTCTGTTTCCCTCCTTTTTTCCTTACTTCTTCTCCGCTGTTTTTTTTCCCCTCTACCCAACTTCTGTTTTCAATTACAATCCTCCATAGAAGAATCAGGGTATTCAAAGTGTGTCAGTAATCTGAGGTTAACACATTCTGTGGCTACTGACATTTAAAAACAAATCACAACAAATTCCCATTGCCTGTGCATTCTCATTCATTCTTCAGCACCAGACTCAATTACAAAATAAATGAAAAATGCTTGCGGGTGTGTAAAGAAGAAGAGTGAATCTAAATATGTGCATTTGTGTAATATTAAATACAGTAATTCAATATAGTGTAGGTGTGTGGGGAGTAAATATTGAGGTTGCTTGGCCTCTATTTGTCCACCTAGCTAACAGGGATATTACTTATTAATGTAACATTTAAAGTCCTGGTTTAGGGACGGTGTTGTCCACGATATGTGCATGTCTGTATATATGTAGTCATTTCTGTTTGCTCAATTCTTAATAGCACCTTAAAAAGCTTGTAGTAATGTTTCAGGGGATCAGGACCTTTGTTCATATGTTCATATTTTCATACATATGTCTCTGGGCTGAAACAGTTTAACTGAGAATGTAGCAGTTTGTGCATTTATCATAAATATGCAAATGTGTATCTGTTTTTATACTAAATGTATGTACACTTTGCTTGTATGTGTATATGTATCTATATATGTGTGTGTTGGGGGGGTGGGGGTGCTCAATGAGTGACCTTTGCTTCCCTACCCCCAGCCCCAGTGTTATTAATTGCTCTGTAGTGGACAAAAGCCAAACAGATTTGTAACGGCTGAAGGCACCTCGATCTGTGTCGACCCAACCAGCCGCCACAACATACAACCCTCGTTAGCCCTGTTCAGCAAGCAGCACATGCCCTCGCGCCTGTGTGTGCGCGCGTGTGTGTCTGTGTTTATAAATGTGTGTGCGACTGACTGAGTAAAATTGAAAAGAAAGAAAGAAACACTATGTTTAACTCTGGAACAGCTCTGGAACATGTGCTACGTCTGGTTTATCAGCCTAAACTAATTTCTTGTAAAGAAAAAAAAATTATTGCTAGTTTTAACTAAAATTATACACATATGTATAGATTTACTATAATACATTAAAAATAAATAAAGTTATAGGTGACAGATTATAGGAAAAATCTGAACAATCCGAACCAGCATAGTAAAGGAAGTATGAGAGAAGGGTCACCACAAAACCAAGTTTTTCTCAGCTATCACATTAAATTTTTAAGAAAACATTAAAGAGCCACTCAAAGGCACTTTCAGCTGCTCCCTTACCCCCCCCCCCCCAAAAAAAAAAACCCCAAAACAAAGCAAAAAACTAAAAAAAACAAAAAACAAAAAAAACAAAAACAAAACATAGGTCCCAAAACTTTCAGAAGTACAGTTGGGCAATATATAGAGTAACCTCTGTGTCCGAAGGACAAGGCCAGTTCAGTTTTCTGGATCTAAGGCAACACTGCTTTAAAATAGTGACAATTTTGCTGACACGGTACAGAGCTCAGTAACTCTTCCATAAATTGTGGTCACTGAACATTATTCTTTCAAGCATCCAAAAATTCAAGTAAAAAAATGTAATTTGGAGCTATTTAAAAAAAGAAATGCACATCCTCCAGGCTAAATCAGAGAGACACGCTTGCTTTTGACTGTATGCTTGTTTTCAACATACAGTCAAAGGCCAGCAATACTGATGGTACAGGAGTGCATTTGTGTGCAAAATGAGTAACTTGTATATCTGAAAAGGCATAAGAATGCTGAAATTACATACATAGATTTTGAAGTCAAATATGTTCCCATTTACACTGTCTTTTTTTTAGAGAAGTTCTTGCTTTAGTTTCTTAAAGAAAAGTCACATTATGAAATTTTAAAAAGGCAATAAAGAGAAAACATTTCACTTTTAAAGTCACAGCAATCGATCTCCTTAGTTCCTCAGAGGATTACAGGGCATTTTCAGGCCTTAAAATGATCCCAAGCCAGGCCCAACTATGGGGAATTTTTTGTGCATTTATTTTTATAACAACAGAAACAAAAATTGAGCTAATGTATTGATTATTATCAGTTAACAGTTCATGTTAACAGTATGTGATGTAATGTATTATGCATATTAAATATTTTACACACACAAAAAAAGGTAAAAGTCAAAAAGAACACTTTTACCTATAATAAGGAGATAAAAAAGCAGGCAAGTGTTAAATTATTTTACCTTTACAGCTGATACCTAATTACAACAGGATAAATCATTAATTGCTCTATGTGAACCTTGATTTGTCCCCTATAAAACCATCTTTTCATGTTGAAGAAATTAAATAAACTCCCTGGTGCCTCTCTCTGTCTCTCTCCAGCTGTTTGTGCAAAGCTGCATCTATGCTCTTCTTCGTGCCACACAATTAGCAGTGAGCCGGATAAAAATCACTGCATTAATCCCAGTAACATTAAACTATACTGTACCACTGCTGGAGGTGCAACAAAGGGCTAAACATAATCATGCATGAACAATTTTGAAATGCGATGATGTGCAATTAAATAATAAATAATGTCACAACTTTCATTCCTTAATTGGTGTTGAAACACCAATTATATAAATATATTAATACATATATTTATGATTCATGAATCATGATATTCTGCCATTTAGATTATGTGATAATAAAATAGATATATGACATAAAATAAAAACTGAATAACAATTATTAACATTAGGCACATATAATGCGCTAAGCCTGTCATGTTGTATTCCTGAAGCACTGTGGCTAGAGATTATGTTTAATGGCTGCTGAACCGCTGGACAAGTTAATCAAACATACCTGAAGTACTTTTAAATGACTGAAACCCTTACTGACATTTTCACCCTGGATTTCTAACTTATTTAAATGTCTAATATAATACAGCCACATTTCTCACTTCTTCCTCAATAATTTAATCTCTGGTTCAAAACAGGGGATCAAGGAGTAATGGAACATCAGAGAGTGAGGCATTGTGGGACAGCAGGCCACACCTTCGGTCATCCAGGCCAGCACCGGAGCAGCTAATTGGCCAGGTTCTAAATATTTAATGGAGGCTTGACCTGATTGGCTGTTTTAATTGCTCCAATTGAATGATTCAATAGCTGGCAATGAGAGGGTAGTCAGCCAGTCAATTTAGACAGTGGCCAGCTCAATGTATTGAGCCTTGAACACCCTCATAACATAGCCTTTCCATTTAAGTGACTGACCGATTGATTAACTAATTCACTAAAGTAGTAAAACTAATGCCACCCAAAGGTGTTTAAGCAAACAATTAACCCCAGCTTTGATAATATTGCTAATCCACATTCAATAAACTGAGAGGAAAAAAACAAATAATTTCAAATATATTACAGACTTTTGTCCACTGTTCACTCTCAAAGTAATTTTCTTAAGAGACAAGTAGCAGTGCATCCACATTAAACTTCAACAGACACACACATAGCGAATATATAAATCCAATCAGACTGAAGAGAGAACTTGTCTGCATCCAAACTGGATCAGAAGGGAAGAGCAGTAAAAGAAAGACTGACGCATAGAAGGGGAGAGTGATCGCAGGGCAGACCCACACTCTCTCCGACATAGCAGCTCTCCTTTCATGAATGTCCTTGAGAGGGACACAAGAGATGGAGGAATGAAGAAGGCTGGAATGAAGGGAGACAGGAAAAAAGTAGACAGACGAAGAGACACAGCACAGCACAAAAGAAAAGAAGAGAAGAAAACACTTGTGCTTTTCAGCCTAGTGACAGTCCATAAATTCTCTCTGAGCCTCCTTTTTTAGCACTCTTTTGGATAAGTTAAAAGATTTCACTATGTTGTTGCAACATCACAGGGAGAATTATTTATCTGATTATGGCAGTAATAATTACCCCGCTGTTTATTGCAGATAGAGGAATAATTCATGCAGTCAACAGGCCGTGCTAGTGGCAGCAACGATGACACCAGCACATTTAGTAAATATGCAAAGCGGACTTGCTCCGCTTTCCTAATTGCCCCCATCGTCCCACAGCATGCCCTTATTAAAGCCCAGGAACTTTAAGTGTCTCCCTGACAAAGTGATAAATTGTTGGGGTATCAAGGAAAACTGTGGCAGAGTGGGGACTGCACTGGGGTCCTGACTTCATTAGGCTATGCAGAAGGAGAGGAAGGATGAATGAGGATGGACACTAAAGCATAGTGAACCTGTGGCAAGGAGAGCAAGAGAGAAAGATATCGAACAAAATAGATTGAGAAAGAGAGAGGCGAGAGGCAGAGATTAAGAAAGGGAGGCGGAGAGAGGGCGGTGGATAAAAGAGGATGGTGTAAGTGGCGTGGATTAGTTGTACCTAATGAAATGATACAGATGGTTTTGAACTGGGGAGCTCTGTCATGAGAAAGAGATTGGTATGGAGAATCAGAATGAAAAAGGACAAAGACAGTGAAGGGAAAATATGCAATACTCCTACATCATTACCATGCACAGCTGATCAGCCTTCAATAAATGGAGATCATTCATCTGACTTTGAATTTATTAATTTATGCAGTGGTTGGACAGACGGATGGACAGACTTGCGGAGGCAGGGAGCATGGTGATGGATTAAAAAGCAGACCTTTGCAGGGTTAGTGATCAGGCAGTGTGCAATCCGAGGGCTTAGCAGCTAACAGAGAAAGGATATTTTAAATAAATGCCGGCACGGCGTTAATTGATCGTGACCCCAGCAGCACTAAATAAACATGTGATTAAGTGAAGTGAAAGTGACCTCGTACCCCAAACCACTGTGGAGGAGGGGCTGCATGTGCATGTGTGTATGTGTGTTTTTGCATAAATGTGTGTATGAGTAAGAGTGTGAATGTACCACAGCTGATAACAAAAGCATAAGACCAGAATCCTAAAATGAAATAGCATCACATAGCTGGTCACTTTATCCTTACAGCTCCTTGTTTCTAAATTTCAATTCCTATGATTTTTGTTAACTGTTGTAAGTTGTGCAAAAGGTGCAAAGAGACAGGAGCCACAGTATATGCATATACTGTTTAGGCAAGGTCCTTGCAAACTAAAAGCTATAGCTTGCATACTTCTGAATTAATCTAATCTAGTCCTATGAAGTGATGTTCAGTTCAGATCAATGGTCTAATTGTTTCCTTATTGTAGCTTTATTACAGTGTGGTTAAAATTTGGCCTGATTATGAATACTTTTTACTATGAATTATTTTTTGTACTTTTGTAATGTCTTAAATTTCATTAAGACATTACAAGCAAAATAATCCCAGTGACTGGTCAGAATACTTAACGTAGTTGACATGTCTTTGTGTGTGCTCATTTTTGTGTTATATTATAGCAGCAACTCTTCCATGATGGACTTTAACAGCCTAGTCACTCCTATTTCTAAAAGGGGCAAAGAGCGTGGAGGAAAGGTAAAACGCTGCTGGGGAAGTGAGGGGGGGAGAGTCGGTGATCCAAGGAGCACTTTAACAAATTTACATTTAATTTTAGCAGGAAGCCTAAAGATATTTTCCTGTAAAATATATTAGCAACATTAAAAATGTGACTATTAGCTAAACGTGATGGTTTTTTTTGTCAAAAATAAAAGATGGTGTATCTCTAGCAGTAAGCCCTGAAGCGCAGGATGTTTTATTAATGCACGAGCTGCGGTTCAAATCAGAGGCTAATTTTTAATTTCTTCACATCGTTCACTTCTCTCTTAGCCTCAAGCGCTTTAGAGGACTTCTCTCTCTCTCTTCTGTCTTTCTCTTCTCTTTGTCTCTCAGTCTCTTTCATATCCTCACTTTTCCTTTCGCGTTACTCCAGTCATGTGTTTTGGTTAAGCATACACAATACACCTTTCAGACAACTGTCTTTACATTAATCAAATCAATTCATTTTGATTGATAGGCTATATAATAGGCCATAGTCAGTGGGCAAAGATACACCATGTTCTAACAGAACATATTAAGGCTAAGTTTTTTATCCTTTCCAGTTTGCATTCCTTTGTGCAAAAAAGGTACCCCATATTTGCTTCCTTTAATTGAAGATATTGTATTATATCGGTTATAATCTATCTAGAAGAATGCTGACACATGTACTGGCCATGTGAGAAAGACAAAAGCAACACAACTTCAAGTGAGTTTCAGGAAAATAAAACCAAATAAAAAGATAAAAATTAATTCAGGTCTCTTAAGGTCTCATAAATGAAACTATTTTTTCTCACCTGACTAGTTCATTTTTCATGACAAGTCCTTCCATATACTTTTTTCGTGCATAGAAGTTATGGATATACTTCCTCACAAAGAATCCTCTCCATGTCCGCTGGATCTGTGTGGGATTACAGAAGTTTTTATGAAGTTTAAATGTAACATTTAAGTAGGACACTTTTTAAACCATTGTTAATAAACTATACAATCCCTACTTTCAGAGGGACAATCCAGCACGAGAGAGACAGACTGTCAAACTGTCACATAACCATGTATTTAACGGCATCATCCACACTGATTGAGGAGGCTGCAGATTAGCCAGAACACACCCACACACAACAGTTGACCATTTTAAAGCATAGGGGCGGATGTCCTTCAGACTAATTAGGAGATTAAAACAATGGCAGGTAAAAGAATAATCACGGTATGAGAAGAGGGAAGAAGAAAGAAGAGGAGAAGTAAAGGATAGGGAAAAACAACAAAGAGCAAAATGAGAATTAGCATTGATCTGCCAGTCAATAGATAATTTTAAATAAAGTAATTGCCGCCTCCCGAGTTCTTGCTGACCTTTGTTGACTAGTGAAATCGATGCTGTTGAATCTAATACAAATACGAGGTGCGGCATGTAAACACTGGTTTCTATTACGGCCTTAATACATTATCCTCTGTTAGCTACCACACCAAGATAAAGACATCAGGAGGGGAGAGAAAAAGAAATAGAGTTAAAATTGATTTAAAGAAAATGTCACAAGGGGATTCTCAGATGATTGTATGTGTTGGGTGTGCTTTGTGGGTTTCTTTTTTTTCATTTATACAATATATTTGGCAAAAAAGTACAAATGTCTTTCTCTCATTTGTTTTTGTATCTCTGTTCAGGTCATATTGAAACAGAACAAACACTGAAGTCGAGAAAGTACAGAGTATGTGTCAGAAGACGTGGGATCAAGATTTATATTGCAGGTATTAAGTACTATATCTGTATGTCTGGTGTAAATAGTAGAAAAGTTTCAACAGGTGGCATCATAAAAAAGGCCAGATACTGCATGTATTTCCCTTATTGTCCTTTAATTTATTATTTCTAAAGTCTAAAGTCACATGTAATCAATCTGTTTTGAGAATTTTTGTCTTTGGATTTGCCCCATGACTTCTCTTTAGGTGCTGTGGGCAGTACACAGTCCAACACCAAGGGACCAATTTCACATATGAGGCTAAAGCCTTGGTCAAGGGCAGTGGGAGAAAAGTGGAGCACCCGGAAAAACCCCAGACAGACACAGAGGATACACTCAGCGCAGAAAAGGCTCACTTGGCCCTTCTGGGGTTTAAACCCAGTACTTTCTCGCATTGGTAACCTCTAAGCACCAGTCATTTTAACACAGTTCTCCATTAAAATTCCTATTGTCTCCTATAGGAAATTGTGGTTATTTTCATAGATAACATAGGTCTCTTATTTCAGTAGCTTCTCTTTTGGACTACATGTCGACATCACCTCTGAACTTTCACCCTGTGACCTAAACAGCTGGGTCAAACATTATTCGTGAATCTATGTCTCTCCTATAATGTGAAATTTATTGTAAAAGCAGGGGGTGAGCTTTATTTGTTTGGGTTCCTATTATGTGTAAAACATAAAGCCCTCAGTTCCCCGGCTTTTCCACCAATACGAAAATATTATAAACATCTCTTTCCAGCTGGACAGTGAATCTCTCTCTTCAATAAACACTGGCGAATTCTTTTGTTGGTCTATAAAACCCTTTAATGGTTTAGGCATGAAACTATTCACCAAAAGAGAAGGCCTATATGGAATTGTTAAAATATAAGATTTCTAGGCAATATCCTTGTGTAAAAGTGCCAAAGCATCACTCACAGCCACAGAGCTATGATTTATGAGTTGAACAGTAGTAGGTGTTCAGGGATAAAGACAGTATTTCAGGGCCATGAGCATTTAAGCAAAGTGAAAAAAAAAGTTTTTAACGTTATATATAAAATATTTGCTGTGGTTTGACACATAAATATGATAGGTCATTCTGATATAGAAATCTGTCCATTTTTATAGGGTTTTTAATAATAATAAATTATACTGGATTACCAACATGATGCTGCACTTAAAAAGGGAGAAAAATGGCCAACAAAGGATTAAAGAAATTTAGAGGTATCATGCTTATGGGCTGCTACTCACAGGGGCTCCCACATACAGAGAGCAACAGAGTGTCCCCCCACCACGACACTCCATTTGCTAAAACAAGACAGTGTGGTGATATTTACCCTGACCGCCATCTCCTCGTAGAAATTCATCTTCATGATAAAATATGCCGCCTGTGAACACAAAGGAAACGATGGTGTTACATCTTGTCTCCCAACCCTCTGATCTGTCCACAGCAGGCGTCAAAGATAAAGAGCTCTTTATACATAATACATTGCACAGGCAGCATAGATAGGGCCACTGTAGAGTGGAGGGAGGAGGGAAGGGGGCAGAAAAGGAGAGTGGGAAAGCAAGAGAGACAAGAGGAACGAGAAAAAGTCAGAGGGATGGAGAGAGAGCAGAAGAGAGACAGAGACAAAGAGAGAAAAAAGGAGAGAGAGAGAGTGGTTAGTGGGACTTTCTATCAAGGGGAGGACAGTACTCTCTTAATACACTAACACAGACAAGGGCCAAGAAAATCTATGGTAGTCAAGCAGCGCGCTAATGGAGATGTATGACGGCCAAACGCTCTCCTCTGGATTTCATAATCAATGACAGGACTGCCACAGAACAGACTAACAAAAGGCCAGAGAATATTCAGCAACATACTCAACGAGCCATCGCACTCCAAACGTGCCAGGCAACCACTGGGAGCACATTTCAGGAGCAAACTGGAGTGTGGGCCATAAAAGGGATTCATATCTCAACACGTCTTTTTTAATAACGACAAGGAAGAGAGGAAAAAGAGGAAGGAGATGGAAGACAAAGACTTGAAAGGAGGTTGTAAATTCAGCTTGATGTTTTGAGAAGAGGCTTTGTGCACATCACATTATACACGATAAGGTCCGCAAGAGAGAAAAAGACAGAGAGAGATAAAGGAGGTGAAGAGTAGAATCTCTCAGGGCTAATTTCAAAACAGTGCACTGTGGCAATTTTGAGTGATTCAAATTAGCGCTTGTCTGTTTCCAAATGAGACCAAACAGCCTCTTTTTAGCCCATATGTGTGTTGTGACACATCCTTCATTGTTTATTTCAACACCCCCCGCCACCACCACCCTTCCATTTCTTGAACGCCTCCCAAACGGTGGCTGGCAGTTATGCTTTAGCAAACAGTCAATTTACAGGCATGATAAATAGCTTGTTGTGATACGTTTACAAAACTCAATCCAGGGGAAAATTATACGTGAGAGCGCTGGGTATTGGATCCGGTATCAACAATCTGTTCAATTAAGAAGCAGTTGGAGGCAATATGCTGAAAATGGGGCCTTGTTTTACTAAAGCATACACATACACACATAGATACACAACTCTTTTCTTTTTTCTATATGCATCCCAAGAATTGTGAAATAGATGGAATTCCTTATCATAATGCATCATTTTTCCAAAGTGCTAATTTCCTAATGTGTAATGGGTGAATTATATTTCTTAAGGTCAGACGCAGGGACTTTAGGAATATAGCAATTGAATTCTAATGCGTGCTATCATAGCATAATCAATATATCTATAGTCGTTCCAGGCACTGGCTTACCTTCACCATTTGTCTGACACGTGCCCTTGCTGTGAAGCCCCGCCATATCTTCTGTATAATGATTGCCTTCTTGTGCAGATGGCTGTAATAAAATCAAATTGAGGAGAGGATTGGGTGGATGTTTTTTTAGTAGTTAAACTGAAGGAAACCCTGGAAAAAGTTATTCAGAAACACGTAAGGGAAGTAAAAGGTAAATTTCACTGGTCATTAACAAGGTTGTTTAAGCTGAGAAATTAAGCAATTCTGCAACCCTCCCCCAGAAAGCTCAATCCTAACAAAGCATGAAATGGAAAGTTTCCATAGTTATGAATAAGCTAAAAAATACCTTTATCTAGAATTAATTTATTAATTATTCAATTAATTTAACTTCCTAACATAAACTCTTTTTTAGGGAAAACAATAAAAAGAAAGTGATTTTCTGCATACAAATTTAAGGTTGTGAAAAGGCTCAAATGAAAGGTCAGGGAAACATTATGCTTATAAATACAAGCTGTCACAAACACACATGCACACACACACACATATAGACCATTCGTGCTCTCCCAGGCTTTTCGATCATGTCCGATGAGCCTTCCACCTCCTATAGTCAGCGGTACACATTTGTATTCATCTTCAAACATACTCTAAATGCAAGTCCACTGCGATTCTCTGCCTCCAATGAGGCCATCAATTTCCAAAAGGCCATTTATATGCCCAGAAAATCAATGCTTATAGTGGGGCTAGCACAACCCCGGAGTTGCACTTAGGCAGCTAAAACTGTTGCTAATTATCCACTTAACGCATTGATCAATTAACTAAAGTAATCTGAATTAACCTACTGTCTGGAAGTTTGTCTGCTGACCCTGCAGAATGGTGCTAGGGTCACAGTATGGGAACAAGCACAGAGATAGAGACATTTATTTCTCTGTGTGAGAAAAGAGCATAGAGTGCAAGCGACATTTATTCCTCCAGGCCATTTGCAAACTTCTGGAAGTGGGATAATTATGGTAGTGAGCTAATATCAGGGTTTCCCTTGATATGAACTCTTACAGCCTGTCTGAGTGTTTTACAACTCCAAAGGAACTACACTTACATTGATAAATAAAATGAATGTCTGCTTTGTTTTTGCATGAGCACCAAAAGTCTTTTTTTATGGATTACAGATACAAATCGGATCACAGAGATATACCATACCTGAGGTAAGCCCGCACCTTGCAGCCTCTGAACCAGCTCTGGATCTGGGTGACGGCCTGGTTCTCCTTCTCTCTGTTCTCATCAGCTTCTCTGAAATACATAAACACAAAAATATATCACTCTTCGCCTGGCTCAAAACGAGCCATTGGAGTTTACTACGCATGGCAGCATGCACGATATACAGTAAAGAGAATACATTGTTATCATAGCTGACTTAAGAATTTTCTGAAAAGTGCATATTAAGCTTCATTATAACACCAATTATTAAAACTGGCTGAAAAATCTTTCAACATTTGGAGACTAAACGCCACTTTTCTTTGACTTTAGCTAAACCCTTTTGGAGAAGCGATAATAAGTCCTTCATACGTAAACAAACAAACAAAAAACAACAACAACACATTTTTACTGGCAAGTTACACAGCTAAACTTTGCTTTTGCCCCATTTGTGTGGCTTACTCGTAGGGTGCTTCTGAGCATTACTGTCATTCTTAGGGAACCAAAAACTTGCATTGTAACGCCAAAACAGGACCGCAAAAGCTTATTAGCATACACAGTAGACGCATGACGCTAGCCTTAGTTCTGGGTGATGTTAGCTAAATGCTGACTGCTAAACTGCTAACAAGAACTCATAAAGCAATTAAACGTATCCATATATAGTTATGTAAATCATTAATCCATACCTGTTTGTATAGTAGTATTCCTTTTGGAACTCTTCAAATTCGCGTTTTATTTTCAACAGCTCCGCCATGTCGGTGTACTCAAGCGAGAGTTTACATGTTGTCTTGACAACACAGGTGTTTCCCAGGGTGCTGCAGATGCGTTCAAAACTCACAGGAAAAGGGAAAGTTCCTCCTAACGTGTCTATTTCCTTTCATTTCGACTATTGTAAAGCGTTTAAACAGATTCCAGTAACCGAATTGGGTTAATATCATGCGCTGTATGCAAACAAGTTTACATTATAATTTAACCATAAATTCCAAAAGTAATCCATGATAGAAATAAAAACTTCACGAAAAAATTTTCTTTTTCGTCCTGCAAACCACTTCCCACTTACTATACCAAAGCAAAAACATTTTGTAAGTAATAAGAATAGTAGGCATTAAAAATAACTAAAAGAGATTTTAAAAAGCGCCCGTTTCATAGATGCAGATTGTGGATCTGTGTATTGATCTGCCAGCTGCCTCACTTCTTCCATCCATCCCTTCATCTACTTCCCTCCTCTCCTGACGTTATCACCCTTCATCATACAGTTATCAGTTTATTTCTCCCCACTCTTCCTTCCACATTTTCCCCCATCTTCACTCCACTCTCCTTCAGTCATATTGCCCTGTCAAAATGATCACCTAAGCAGGGTGTATATGTGTGTCTGTGTGTGTATTTCTGTACTTGTGCAAGGAAATATATCTGTCTGGCCAGTGGTCAGAGCAAAAGACTGTCTGTATTATAGATTACTCCTTGGAGACAGGGAAACCACAAATAGTGAAAGTGAATGAGTATATGTCTGTCTCATTGCTCTTACATGTGTTTTTGTACTGGCATGCTTCGGCTTGTTTCTCTGTGAACTAGGCAGTGTGCTTGTTTGAGAATCCCTTTCAGTCTCTCTGTCTTTCTCTGAGGCCAATTTGCTGTCTGAGGGCCACCACAGTAGTGAAGAGCAGTAGGCAGACGTCCTAGGTAGAGTTATGGCTGGAGGGTTGAACCCATGGTGGCTCAGCTCATCCATCGAAGGGCGATAGGAGGGCGACCACCCTAGTAATTACTGGAGAAATGTTGTTGTGACAAGAGGGTATGAACAGCGCATGTGAGGAAAAAGAGAGCGAGTGAATGAGCGAGAGAGAAAAGAGAGATTTTTTGGGGGGGCAAGCTTTGTTTTTGACAAGACTGTAAAAATGCTGCAGGCTATTCGTCCTGCCACAGCACTGATTAGGTGTCACCAGGAGTGTATCTGTGAGAGAACAGCACAAAAAGGAGAGTGAGACCACTTCATAAAAAGACATCCTGTTTACACTCTTTCTAATGACACACTTACAGACTCAGCCTAACATCTTTTCCACATTCCTCTGTACAACACACCCTTCCAACAACTTAGGTGTACTTTCATCCTCCAGGTATTGTTCTGAGCAGTTCTGTCTTCTGTCTCTACTTTTCCATTTTCTTTCTACTTTCCTCTGTTCTCAATCAAAACATTTCCCTTGCTCACTGAGGCGATAAGTTCTTATCCAGGATTACCCATGTATATACTCTCTCCATCTCTTTCTCCATCTCTCCATACGGGGCATGTCATTTAACACGCCTAGAGTCACCTCTCACAGTTAGGAAGCTCTTCCCGCCAGTCATTGTCCATGCCCATTGTTGCTAAATGAGGGCCATATGCACTGTGGCCAGCACTGGTCATAAAGACACACACACACACACACACACACACACACACACACACACACACACACACACACACACACACACACACACACACAGATACCAGTGTCTGTGGCTATGTGACTGCCGCACATGTCTTCACACAGTGCATGTGTATGAATCATTATTGTATGTGTCAGTGTGTGACTGATTATACGTGAGCGTCTGTGTATGCAAGGCCGTCTGTGTGTCTTTCGATGCATGTGTGTTCCTTCCACCACAGTAGGGTGCGGCGGATGGAATGTGTGTTTCTCGGCAGGGCCAGTTCGGCCATTATTATTAAACATCTGTCCGCAGCACATTAATTCCCCCACTCTGACGCATCCCTCTCTGCCCAGGGATCACTTAATTGAAATCCATAATGACTCTTTCTTCTCTTCTATCCCACACTGAGCAAAGTGAAGCAGGGAAATATCTTTTAGACAAAAAGATATTTGTATCAGCTGTTATCTAATCATTAACCCACTGGTATGCTTTTTTTTTTTTTTAATAAAAGAATTATAAGGTATTCCTTGAAAGTTTAAATACTGGAAAACTTTAAGAAAAAACAAAATTATGTTCTACTAAGGAAAAAGATTTTTAATGAAGTTACAATCAGCAATTTATTATTAATTTTGAATTCATTCACATTAACTCACGTTTCAAATATTTTTTTAGACCTGCATTAAACACTTAAAGAGTAGTTAATTTAGGTTTTAAATAAACACAAATGCTAAAAAAAATTCCAAATGGCACCATATTTGAAGAGAAAATTCAGGGTTTGATTTCATATTTCATATCAAGTACTGTAAACTTAGTAGCATCCAAGTTAACTGCGCATAATTTCCAAGATGAGTTTTGTGATGAATAAACCACTGGTATCATTTTCATCAGTGGTGATTTTCCCATTATGTTCCATAAAAAAAGTAACGGAATTACTCATCACACACAAGCTCAGACTTTAAAACATGGTTTAAACATTTTCAGTTTGAGCCATGCTACAATGTGGGAAGTTGTTCCTGTTCTTCTTTGCAAAACTATGCAAATTGTTCCTTCATATTTTCCACCTGGGGCTGCTGTTACTTTTTATAGTGGCAATGCTTTTAAACCGTTTTTAAAGTCATCTATTTTTCCCTCTCCAGCCCATCCCCTCCCTTCCACCTTTCCTCATTCCTAATATCCTACTAATGGATAAAAACTACAATTCTGCTGGTAAAGGAGAAATATCATACTGTTATTAGCTCACCTATACCCGGAGAGAGAGCGAGAGGGAGAGCAGAGAGAAAGAGAGCAAGAGAGAGAGCGCGCAAAGTAATGAATTGAGCATTGTGTAAAATAGTTTAATGCAGGGGTGGTTCATCATTATTTGTGGCGGATTGCGTGCAGACAGGGGTGATCCATTAGTGTGGTCGTTTCCATCTGTGTAAGCCTGTATCTCTGTATGTGTGTGTGTCTGCGTGTTCATGTGTGAGTGTGTGTCCCACCCAGAAGGACATTCGCTGCTGCCGGCCCCACTGTCACAATGAGAGATTCATCACCACACACACACACACACACACACACACATACACATGCACGCACGCGCACGAATACAAGCACATACACACAGGCTACCATACACATATGGTATTATTGTTCCATCATTACGCCTCTCATTCTTCTTTTCAACAATATGTCATTTTGCTCTCTCTCTTGACACACACACAAACACAAACACACACACACACACACACAAACACACAGCAGAAGACAAATGTAAATGTGTTGTTGTCAGACTAGAAGAAATGATACAATTAAATCACATCTTTTAAAAACTTTAATTGTTTTCAGTTTGCAACTAAATGCTGAGTTAAAATTTTAAATACAGTTTAATTTCATTTAAAAAACGAATTAAGTAAAAGTTTTTGTTATTACATCCAGTATTCTCCCACCGCGACCTGATTTTTTCCAGGAGTTTCCAACACTTTACAATGTACCCTTACAAACTGTGTGACCCTTAGCTCCAGCAAGTTTTAATATCTTTGTTTTGTGCACAATCTGTATTTTAAGAAAAGCCTAATAAAGAAAAGCCCGTCTTAGTCCCCAAAGAGTAAAACCATGGTTCAGATCAAACACTTTCTATTTGCATGTTTGTGCATAACATCTACAAGTCTAGGTTCAGTATGCATTAGAAATAGAAGAAAGGAGAATGGACAGAATGGCAATCAAAGACCAGAAGAATAGAGTAAGATGAGTAAGACTTTTTTGTTGCATGATTGCCACATCTGATGACCATTCCTTTACTTCCACACATCCACGCCCACAATCACATTCTCCTTTCAAAATAAAACCCTCAGTAGTTTAATGGAATGTAGATCTTTTTTTTTTCATGAACTCAATATTGGAGAAGGAAAATAAATCATCCAGTCTACACTCTGATCATGGTAGGGTGTAGTGTTGCATCTTAGACATCTGCCAATCTAAGGCACTTCAGTCCTTACACTTCACTTGTTCTTTTCATCTGCCCCTACCCATCTGCTGTCGCGTTCATCCCTTGTTCTCTTGTTCTAGCTTTGCTTTGCTTGCTCTATCAGATTGGCATTGCTTACTAGCTTTGCCACTGGCTTTTCCATTTGTCGAACATTACAGTCTTTCTCTGCTTTTCTCCTGTCAAATTTTTTCATTTACGTTAACCTTCGTTCTGTTTCTTTGTTGGTTTTTGTGTTCTCCCTTCTTGCATCTACTTATTCATCTTTTTTTAACCTCCAAGCTGATTTTGACACACAAAATAATAGTAATGTAGAGAATGAATGTAACAGTTTTTGTACCTGGGCTTATAAGAGGACCAAATATGAGTGTTAATTTCAGGGTTTTATTAAAGTCATGTGATCACTGCAGACCTTAGAATCACTTGTTCCTCATATACTAAGCCAATTAATTTTTCAAGCTACTAGAACCAACTGGGCATTGCAACACCTTGTTCCGCTCCAACTTTGCACACATTTCCAAACTGTAGAGTTGGTTTTTCGCTGTAGATATGACACACAGAGACTTCGTCTCTTCTGTCTGAAATATCACAGACCTTTTTCAAGTATGTGTATGTGCGTATGCCCAGTGACCACAGGAGCTAGTCTATTTCTCTTTACTGCAGCTAATTGGTTGGACCGTGAGAGAAACAGGCTGGAGAGGTGGCCAGACCTGACAGTGAGTGTGTGAGCTTGTGTGTCAGATGTCCTCTGGCATGCCTCAGAGAGCTAATCATAACCACACTGCAGAGATTAATGAAGTCAAGAGCAATCAGCCCCGACACACAAACAGGGACACGCACACACACACATGAATACAGACACGCACACTCACTTTTGTATATGCACACGCACAGGAACATATAGTGGTTCTGGCTCAGATACACTGGA